TGCAAATACTTGTACAGTTCACTGATATTATTCATGTATCGATTCACACTGTATTAGTACGGCTTAATAACCGACCATAAGATCAAGGGGAAGCGCGCACTATCCCGCTTCTGAAAAAATTGCTGTAAGACAGCGAGTCAATTTGTAGTTTGTCAGGAGAATGGCTTTTTCAAAAGGGTAATAGTTTAACAGTTGAACCATGAATTATTGAACTGTATATATAAATATTATAGTGAACGTGAGAAATCGAATAAAGCAATAATTTGAGCACTTATCGAAACACGTTTTTATTGGTCAACTCATAAACTCGAACTCAGAACTAATTACAAACTCAGAATACACATGTGATTAATCAATTAAGCATATCACACGAGATCAACAAGACACGTCCGATCTGATTCACGGTTTACGGTAAAAGACGCTCAGGCATTCCCCCGATCTCACAAACACACCTATTGCTATGACAATTCTCTTTTAAATAAATAGTTTATGTATCTAAGGAAACGCGTTGCTATCATCATTTAAATATAGCGCTTGTATTTATCGATAAAGCGCATGCGCGAGCGCCACTAGTAATTTCTCTGACTATGAGACTGCCAGTATCTTACAGCTTAATTTCTCTGACTATGAGACTGCCAGTATCTTACAGCTTAATTTCTCTGACTATGAGACTGCCAGTATCTTACAGCTTAATTTCTCTGACTATGAGACTGCCAGTATCTTACAGCTTAATTTCTCTGACTATGAGACTGCCAGTACACGCAACTAATCTACTGCTCTGTTTTACTCTTGAGCCTCGATCTCGCACACACACATATGCACGAAAGTGTAGCATTGTAAAATCTTTTTCCTAAAGCTTCTAAACTCACTTTTCTAAGTTCACTTATACTCTTTGATGAAATGCCGAGTGCGAGGTTTACTGATTAGGCACGTACAGATTACAAATTTGTTATATTAAGTAAATGTGACGGCAGAAGCCGATAACAAAACTGTAATTTTCTCATTTTTTTTTACTTTTCATATGAAATGTTAAACTCCGCACTCCGTTATTATGTGTACCTTAATTGTGGAAAAGGATTTGTTGATATCTTTAATCAACAAAAAGATTTTGCAATCCTACTAATATTCGCATTCTGTCGGTAATCCGGCATCCTCTTAATAATAGTTTCCTGGATCTGATTCAATGTAAACTCGCAAAAAAATTTAGCTTTATACCTCGGATCAAGATAAGTTGCTACGGCGTACAACTTGTTATTTTCTAAATGTCCAAATCTTTGACTAAATACTTCTTTTAATTTAGATACAAAATCTCTAACTACAATATCAATAACAGAAATCAACTCATTGTCCAAAATTTTCGAAAGCGATTTGATCAACGGTATGACAGTCGAAATACTAGTTTCTGGGCAGCATAACTTTTTTGTGATTTCTTCGAATAGCTTCAGCAATCTTACATATTCATCTAACAAGCGCTATTCCTCAGCAGTTAGGAGATCAATTTTCTTGTTACCCGCATATAAACATAAGGAATCTTTTATTTGTGCAAGTCTTTCCAGCATGTAAAATGTTGTGTTCCATCTTGTTGGACATTCCTGACCACTTTTAGTTCTGGTTGTTGCAAACGTCCTTGAATTTTTTTTAAATCGTCCATTGCGCTGGTTGAATGATGAAAATGTCCTGCTATTTTTTTGCATTTATTCAGCAAATTGACAATAGAGTCGTTGACTTTTAGGCCATTTCTGATTACAAGTTGCAAACAATGCGCCATACAATCAATATTTTTCAAATTCGACAAATACATTGCCCTTTTCATATTAGAGCCACCATCTCTAACAACGCAATGTACTCTCTTTTTTGGGATGTCCCAAAAATTTAACATTTCATCAAATTTTGCAGAAATATAGTCACCGGTATGTCGCTCTTCCATCAGTTCAGCACGTAGCATAATGGTTATGCGAGTGAAGTCTTTGGTAAAACCATGGCAGGTTAGGCTAAGAAGGGACACACCTGATGAAGAATCTGACCATATGTCAGTGGTAAATGAGACATTTTCGAGGTCTTCAAGCAACAATTTTACTTTATTCTGTATTTTTTCATATAAATCCGTACAAAGGAAATCAGTATAGTACTTCCGTCCTTTAAGTACATATTGTGGCGACAGATGATCTACTAAGCGCTTAAAACCTAATCCTTCAACATATTGGAAAGGTAGATCTTGCAAAGCTAACATTTCACATATTAGTTTATCAATATTCAGTGATTTTGGATCTTTATTGTTCCAGGATTTTTGTTTTTCTATAGCCTCCGTAAACGATATTTGTTTATAATTTTTTTCGCATTTTGTAGATTCGTATGTGGCTGCTCTTTTTCTTCTTCCTTTAATTCGGATTCTTTTATAAAATCTTGGTAAATTTCCTTGTGTTTAAATTTTAAATGATTTTTTAAAGCAGAGGGACTACTTTCCTTTCTTGAAAAATTGTTATTACACTCATTACACTTCGCAAAATCATTGTCTTTTATACTAAAGTACTTCCAAATCGAACTTGTAAATTTTTTCGGCATCATTCACAAATTATCAGTACAGTGTAGGTAAACAACAAATAATTGAAAGGATTAGTAAGTTACTTTTACCAACTATATAATATAACGTACTGCAATACTTCACTGTGTAAAGACTCGATTAAAAATGTCAATAAAAGGGCGCCGCTAATCCTCGCAAGTCGCCCGATCTATGCAAGTTATGACAAGTTTGAAATCACACGCAGGCGCGTGCGGGCACCTAACAGAGAAGGAGAACACGGGTCAAGGTCAAAGTATTCGTATTCGTATTCGCGAATATTATAAAAAATATTCGTATCCGTATTCGTATTAGCGAATACAGATTTTTATATATTCGGAACATCCCTAGTCTATACGCGGCGCTAGTGTGCGGAGTGGCGTGAAGTGCGATCTATTTACGTGGAATCCCCGAACGCAACCTCAATGTATGATGTTCACATGCCTTTTGCCGCGTTTTTACATAACCTTAAATAACCGAGTTCTTTGTTTAGCCTTTGTTTAATGATCTTTCTCGATGACTGTTTTCAATAGTTTCCATGGTTTTCAATCTCTTATGTAATCAGATAAGATAATTTGTTTTTATTGCTGGATCTTAATTTCAAGCTATATATTTGCAACTCCCTTTCAAAACAAAAAAAAAAGAAATCAGAAATGTTGAGCGACGAAAATATAGCTTACCGGCTAATCCAAATCGCAGCTAATGCATCGAATCAATCAACATCAGAGGAGAGAAATTTCTCTTCACTGATTCAATCAACAAGAAAAAATTTTAGAAGACAGGAATTAACATCCACCCCTCGCAGAGGTCGAAAAAGGTAGAGAATTTTCAAAAAAACAGTCGTGTTGATGAAACTGTCGAACGCCGATTTTTTTCTATCAATGCCGGAACTGAAATTTTTAAAGCAAAGAGGACTAGGTATTTATAGTAAAATATTTATTGTTTCGTTTATAGAAACAAATTTCTTTATTATTAAAAAAGAATGCGTTGTGTCATGATTCTAAATACTTGTTATATCTAGGTGAAGCGAATACAGTACTAGAGATACAAAAAGATAGTTCTTGCGAGGAAATAAAAAAGAACATAATTCTTCTTTTTCATCCGCACATTCAGCATATGTTGCGAATGTGCGGAATCGAGATAGCAAAAATGCAACAAAATAAAAGAATCATTCGCATCGTCAGTTTTGACAATGGATCTGACTTGGAGGCTGAAACTGGACAGAGTAAAATAGTGGTATTGCCATTGAAAGAGTTTTCAAACGATTTGCCAATTCTTGTAAATGAAGATTTCGTTCCTCGCCCATCATCGCACACTGGTTCTATTCAATCGCCAACTCATGCCTCAATCGTATAAATTGAACGAGAGGAATGTGAATAATCCAGAACAAAGTTCATTTTCAACATTATCCAATGCCACTCTTCGCGAACACCGTCATTCTACAAAAACATGGCGACAAAGGATTGAAGAAATGGACGAAGAGAATTCAGATGAAGATGACGATTATCATTTGCGTATGCAACCATTATTTGTCCTGTAGAATGTTCTTATAGCGAAAGGAGATAGTTTTCAAAAGTTAAAAAAAATGTGCTATTTAATCGTCAGTAAATAATAATCTTTTTGTATATTAACGCGAAAGTAAAAACCAAAATTTATTTTTTTAGGTCTTACCGAAGAGTTTGATCCCGCAAATAATTTTGTTTCATTCCCATCGCTACCTGAAAACGCAGAAACTGCAACTATCGAGATCTCCAGAACCAATTGTCTCAATGAACTGATGAATCTTTATATGGACGAGCAATTTCTGAGCAAAAATTTAAACGTGAAATTTATCGGTGAAATAAGAATTGATGGCGGTGGCCTCACGAAAGAATTATTTAACATCTTTTTTGACAAATGCTCGAGCATGTTTTTTCAAGGTGAAGATTGTCTTGTTCCGTATTTGCCATTAAACAAACGAAACAAACAAGACAAATTCATCACGATTGCACGGATTCTTGAACACATGTTGATTTTAACTGATAGTATTTCAGCAAAACTGTCGAGGATCACTTTAACTTTAATCGGAAATTCTGATGCCGATATTGATTCTATAATGCTATTGTAGGAATTAATGAATTATGTAAATCCGTATTTAAGAAAAATTCTTTAAAAAAGTCAAAAAATTTCTCATCTCTGACAGAAAAAGAACGGGAAGTCATTGGGAATTTTTTCTAATCGAATAAATTTTTCGCAAAACCCAACTCTGAGACTTTTTCAGAGCAATTACAAGTAATGGTAAATATAGCGAAAAGGGGACCCAGCCCCGATGACCTTGACCTTGATATATGTTGTCAAGGACATAATTCTGAGTAACTTTTTCTTTTAATTTAATCGTCGCTCGTTGCTTATTAAAAAATTATTAACAAAAAAAGTTTGAAATATACCGAAGAACATGCACGGACAGGAAGAACGCGCGCGCGCACACACACACACACATACACAGGGGGGAGCAAGGGGGGCCTTCGGCCCCCTTCCCGCACCCTCCCCGCCGATAGGCAGGATGGACCTCGCTTTACAACTTACAAAGGGTGTCAGGAGCACGCTTTTAGCGCTATGAGCATGCTTTGTCCTTGTTCAACTTTCCATAAATAACAAAAATAGAACATGTTTTCAGCGCGTAAGCGTGCTTTTGAAACGCAGCCAAAGTACATGCTACATTGTAAAGCGGGATCCACCCTGCCTACCGGCGGGGCGGATGTGGGAAGGGGGCCGAAGACCCCCCTTGCACCCCCCATGTGTGTGTGTGTGTGTGTATGTATGTGTGCGCGCGCGTGTTTCCTGTCCACGCATGTACTTTGGTATATTTCAAACTTTTTTTGTTAATAACTTTTTAATAAGCAACGAGCGACGATTAAATTAGAAGAAAAAGTTACTCAGAATTATGTCCTTGACAACATATATCAAGGTCAAGGTCATTGGGGCTGGGTCCCCTTTTCGCTATATTTACCCAAGTAATTGCTACTGAATTGCTGGTCGACATGCCACGGAAATTAATTGATAAACTTCGTCAGGGTGTACAACCAGATGTACATCCCGATTTTTGGGGACGTTGCGATTGTATAGTTTTTGCTTTGTCATAGGAAGCTTTGTTTTCGTGACAAAATTTTTTTTCGAGTTTTCTATGCCAATGTGTTTAGAATGTCCCAAAACGTCAAAAAATCATATTCCTAAAAAATGTCTGTATGTATGTGTGTATATATGTATGTATGTACGCAATATATTGTACAACCTCTAACTTCCGCAATTTTTGAGATATCGAGATAAATTTTTTTACATGGATAGAGTATCATTCAAGAATGGTTGGTATTGAATTTGGTGAGAATCGATGAAAAGGTTCATTTTTTATAAATGTTCGGGAGTCGACCTCGACGAGATCGCCCGAATCTTTGAGATAGCGCTCAGAGTTGAGCGAGACGCGTGTAGCGCGAATCCGTAGATTCGCTGGAGGAATAGGAGTTGAAAGATGACTCACGTGAGCGTAGTTTGAAGAACGTTTATTAGAAAACACCGGGAGCGAGCCACGACACGTATCCCGCGACTAAGATCGGAAATCTTCTGAATGTCCTTCGATGACCTGCCTTTCTCTGCGTTTCTGAAATCTTGAAGAGCTTCTTGCTAGAAGCCCTTGCGAAAACGGAAATCTTGCGCGTGGACGCCGGATGGTTTTTAGCGCGAGGCAGAGGACATACGCGATGCGGCGAACGATCGGCGGCTCTCGAACTCCCCACTTACAACTTAACAATCTTCACTAACAAACTAAAGCGATTAAACGATTTAAACATAAAGAAATGATCGCCGCGAGAATATGATGCGATCTGGAGCAAGACACTTCGGTTGAAATTAAGTAGAACGCGAATTAGACTATGAGTAGCGCGACACGACACGAGCGAGAATAAGACACGAGATAATACTACACGAGAAATTATGATTGATTGCTATCGACCAGCTCGAATCGTCGTCAGCGGCAGACTAACTAGCGACCGTTAAGACTCGCGATCGCCCGATTTCCATAATAGCATATTTTCGGCACCGAATGTTCGAGAATCTAGGTGTTTGTCACAGTTTTTCTTTGTTTGGATCACGCGATCACGCGCCGATCGGCTGATCGCGACGATGCTTATTCTCGCTCGTGTTTTGATTTCGGCTCTTACCGTTTAGATTTGTCGGTTGAATTTACCGTTTAAATTTATCGATTAAATCTAACGTTTCAATTCTGAACAATAAAATTTTTAATTTTCTGAGAAATGTATGTACACATTGTAACTTTCGCAAATTTTGAGATATTAGGTTAAATTTTTTTACATGGATAAAGTATTATTAAAGGATGGTAGCTACTGAATTTGGTGAGTATCGGTAAAAGGATTTATTTTTTATAAAATTTTGAATTTTTTGAGAAATGTCTGTACACGCTGTAACTTTCAGAAAATTTGAAATATCGGATTAAATTTTTTTACATGGATAAAGTATTATTAAAGGATGGTAGCTACTGAATTTGGTGAGTATCGGTAAAAGGATTTATTTTTTATAAAATTTTGAATTTTTTGAGAAATGTCTGTACACGCTGTAACTTTCAGAAAATTTGAAATATCGGATTAAATTTTTTTACATGAATAGAGTTATTATTAAAGGATGTTTGATATTGAATTTAGTGAGGACCGATGCCCGGTTTTTATAAAATTTTTTTAAAATATAAATTCTTGAATTTAGAAAAAAATATTTTGTAATATCCGAGGTATGATTTTTCAACATTATAAATATGGATGTATGTTTGAGAAAGTAAGAGTTTTATAAATTATATTATTAATTTTGCTTCTCGAACGTTCTAAAGCGAGACGTTATGATCGAAGCCTTGTTTTCATTCCGTTTTTGTGGTTTCTTCGTATCGTTCGATTCTGACAAACATCTCGTTGTCGATCGCCGATTGGCTCTCGGAATCGAGCGATCGAAATTCCGTTTTTTGTGGTACACGTATCGACCGGGACTATTGTCCGTGGATCGAAAAGAAGGGCTTTTCGTCTGGACTTCGTCGCAAGCCTTCACCGGGAGCACACCGAACGTCTAACGTTCATATAATTATAGTTAGACTGAAAATTCGCGTGTCCGATTATATCTTGCTGTCGCGTGCGATTACATAAGACGGTCCGGGAGTTGGTGTCGAAAGGAATAAACGCTTTTCCACAAACTAACTCCGCTCAAATCATTTACGTCCTGTCTCTCTGATCGGCGAAACAAATAAATTCTGTTAATGTGGACGTGTAAATCGAAGGCGCGGCTACAATGTATATTAGCCCCATTTTGGCTTGCCAATGAATTTCTAAAGTTAACATTAGGTTTAAATCGAGCCGATTTTAAAATCTCACTTGGAATGCTGTCGAGCTGACTTTCTATCAATTTTCTTTCTGTCAAAATTGTTAAAATTTTCTAAGTGACTATCCATCTGTATCTTTTTATTTCGTTCACAAAACTTCCTCTATGAGGAAACAAAAATTGAAAAATCCGTGTGCTTAAAGTAGCTTAAGCTTTGTGAGATAAAATGATGAGGAAGCAATGTGCAAGTTTCTAATTTGCACAACTGTACTTGTTTTAGATATGCAAGTACCTACTCCGACCAAAGTCATCAATTGCTTAATCACTGACCCTTACCTTACGAATGAAGAAAATGAGGTGCTGCATTATTTGATTATGTACATCAACTGTCTTGATAAAGACAATTTACTAAAGTTCATATTTTTAATAACAGCTTTGTATCAAATGCCAAATGTTATTAATATTAAATTTAATGATTCGGATAAACTTCCGAAAACGATAAACCTCCAATTGCGCTGAAATTTTAACCAAAGCTTGTCCTTGACTTGAGTATAAAGCACCTTGAGGGTTTTTTGCCGACGAAGCCCCGTTTGCACCCTCAAAGTTCCAAACATTTTTACTGTATATCACCGAAAATATTGATTTTACAAAAAAAAGTTTTAGACAAAAAATGAAGCCCTTAAAAAACTCTACAAAAAATATTATATACATTTTTTACATAAACCCATTATTTTAGAAGTTACGTGATAACATAATAATTTTAACGCTATCGTGTTAATACAATGTATCGGACCTGATTCATAGGGAAATATATTAATAGATTTCTTTCAGTTGTAGATTCCCAAATCAATTTCTTCTTGTAAACCCATGTGAAACCTCACTTCGCATTAAAAAGTATATGCGTGGAGGCATTGTTCCGCCCCCCCTCCCCCCTGCGGGAAGGCTCCACTACCAAAGAACTAGACACATTGGTTTGGATTGAACCTCGCTTCGCGTGAAAACTTGTAAACCCATGTGGAACCCAGGGATGCCAGGTTTGAGACTCTGCCCGTTGCCGTAAAGTGGGAGGGGATAACGCACACAAAGAAAAAGCCGTGTACGTGTGCGCTCGGCGCTCGGCTAGCTTCGGGCAGAAGACGAGCGCAGACATACAATCTGCTATCTCTTTCTTTCTTTCAGTCGTTCAGTCAGCTATAGCTGACGCTTTCTCGAGATTCTCGAGAATCATATGTTAGCGCGGCTTGGCTCGTCTATTAGATCTCGCGTAAACACATAAAAATTACTAATAAAATTAATCTTATAATTACATTATAATTTATTCTTAGTTATGAAGTTTTTTTGACAATGTTCCTGCTACTAGTATTATTACCATTAATTATTACGACATTTGTTTTGTCATGACATTCGTTTATTTTATTATTATCAAAGAGGAAAAGTCATTTTAAGTTATGTATGAGGTTATGAAGTTTTTTGACAATGTTCCTGCTACTAATATTATTACCATTAATTATTATGATATTTGTTTTGTTATAACATTCGTTTATTTTATTATTATCAAAGAGGAAAAGTCATTTTAAGTTATGTATGGAATTATGAAGCAATGATATACGTTTATTTTATTACATACAACAATAATTAGACATACAACAATAATTACAAACAGTATCGAAATACAACATATTTTTTTACGCGACTGTATCAAACAATAAGATGTACGGAGTGAAGAATAATAAAAATTTGAAGAATATCTATTCAATGAATGCAATGTTCCCTTTAATTTATGAGGAAAAAACTGCTGAAAGCTTAAATGATAGAATATAAGTTTTTATGAGTGAATTTTATTGGTCAGTGATAGATTAACAAAACTTATAAATGCATATTTCACTTGCGTTGACAAGATAGAAAAGTCAACTCATCAATAAATCAACACATAATGTGTACTTCTCGCGATCTGATTTATCCAAAGTTATGATATTTTCCAGATGCATTTTTTTGCACTTCATTTAGGTCTAACGATGCAGTAAAATTCGATGAAAAGGAATCAATATTGTCATGATTTATTATAGGAGTAGAAACATCTACTCCTAATATTCTCAAGGATTTAGAAAGCCTTTCGTGTAGATTCATATTGGTTTCGAAAACATCCTGAACTGCGGTTGAAGTTGTATTATAATTTTGCAACATTCCTTCGAGCCATAGCTGACGGGGTGAGCGATTATTTTCTGTTCTCAAATTGTGGACATTCCATGCAGACTGGAATGATATCAGTCGTCTATCAATAACCTTCTTATATACATACTGTATACAAAACCTGTGTACAAGATTATTCACATCCATAAGATTGTCGTTCTCCAGAGCGTATAATTCAGAATAAACAGAATCACACACTTCTTTAAAAACGTCTATCCATAATCTTTCTATCCTCTGATTATGGACGGATTTTCCAGTAATGTGACTTCCTTTATTCAAGCCAAGAATCGTATTCATCAAAAAAGCCACAAAAATATTTTCATAACCATGATCTGACCGTACTCGCGACGGTAATCCATAGCTGCCTACGGCTTCTGCAAACAAAGTCACGACAGGTTCGGCTTGAATAGAAGTCTTGCATTTCGAATAAATTATCAGCTGAGAGTACCCATCAATACAACCATGAATTACGAAGCCCCATCTGTAAACAGGAAAATATGTATTTACAATCGTTTTTAGAAACCAAGGCAATAAAATCTATTCGTACCTGGAGAGTTTTAGATGTGCATCCATATGCCATAAGGAGTTTGGTGTTGCTACCTTATAAGTCCTCCTCTTGATAGACTGACTCCATCTACTCGCTGTTCCTATGGGATCGATTTCATTTAAAGCTTGTCTCACTTTATATCTTTGTACATGAAAACCTGCTGCTTTTAAATACGCTTGTACCATCTGTAAATGAACATAATGTAAATGAAAATAAGAACAACATGCTTAGACGCATTTGGAATCTTACCGTTTGTCCAGCATTTGGATGCTCTTCGTGGATTTTTACAATTTCCAATTTTAAGTCATCGTCAGGAATTTGGGCATATCGTGCACGTATAGGCATATTTAAAGAATATAACTTCTGATAGACATTTTTTTTTGAACATCCAAGATGTTTCATCTCACTTACTGTCCATCCGTCATCATACAACATTTTTAATTGATCTTGATCTATTTGAACGGTGGTACGTCCTGGTCCTTTGAATAATAAATTTCCAAATTACAAACTAAAGCAAGTAGGTTAATAACTTCGGACAGAAACTTATTCTTATTAAACGTTTTACCGTTTTAACGTTTGAGAATTCACTGAACATTTCAAATCTGAAGATTGATTGTATATCTTATGTTACGTCCAGACTCGGGGAAGGGTCGACGAAAGGGCGCAACAACTATCTTTTATTATCCCGAAGTTAAACGTCTGGTAGCGTTTGGAATCGGGTCGAACAAACAGGTCTGAAAAGCAGGTAAACGACTGAGTCGCTATTACAATGGTTATTCAGACGTTCGTTCGGTGGTCCCTTTTCGGTAAGAGAATTTAATCTCTTTTACGCGGGATGGGACCAAGTGCGATCTTTCGACTAAAAGAATGAGTGGGAGTTAATAATGAGTTATTTTGATTTCTAATTAACAAAATGTAAATTTATCCATTTTTAAAGTAAATGGTGGATATACATGATTATAAAAAATTAAAATAAAATATAATATACACTTTTCTCTGAGTATATGTGAGTGTGTGTGTGTGTGTGTGCGTGTGTGTGATAATTTGGTGTTACACTAATACGGAGGACATCAGTCAAAAATGCAAGGGAATAATTTTACCGTTAGATTTAGATTCTGACTGGTTGATACAATATGAAGATTTGATTAAATAAATAAAAAAAAACAAACAAAACATGTGTGCGTGTGTGAGTGAAAAAGGAAATATGGAATCATGGAGAAAGAGAATGAAGGGGGATATTTCGGTTAATTCTGGTAGGAGGAAGCGGACTCTAGGTCGGGTAGTTTGTTGCAAAACTCCTTTATAGCTTTCTCGAAATCAGATTCCGAAAACTGCGGGGAGGTTGGGGGTGAATTGTGCAGGAAGGTAGTGGATAGAGAGGAGAAGGAACGTGGGGAAAGCGAAGGTTCGGTGGCTGGAGTGATATGGTCGGGGAAGTAGATGGGGGAGTAACTGGGGGAGGAATACCTTGACGAGGATGGGAGAATAGGTTCGGCGGATACGCGTAGTGGTTTATTAATGTGTGTCGCAAAATTAGCATGTTACAGGCGCTCGAGTCCTCCGACTCCTGCGAACGACTATTCGGCTTAATGGTATAGTATAAGTAGTACCGGATCTGGTTTTCACTACGAAACCAGAGTGAGTGTAATGTAGCGCTTATTTATCGCGAGGGTTAATAGTATAAATGAAATGGATGAGTGTGACTTACATTTTATCTCGTAGATGGAAGGTGCAGGTTGTATTAATAAACTGGCATTGTGCCTTGCGGGTCGCTCTGGTTGCGGTTGATCAAAGTAGATGAGTAAGGCCGATTCTAACCCACCTTGCTTTGGAAACTCCCGTAAGAGTGAGAGAGTGAACATGCGGATAAAATGAGAAACTGAGATATCTGAGGGAGGCATGTCGGGCAGGGGGGAAGAAAAGGGGGAGTACGTATGGTGAAAGGGGAAGCGGGGTAGGGGAAACCACGGAGCTCGAGCGGGGTGAGAGGGGTGAGGGGTAGGGGGTGATGAAATCGGGAACATCTCGCGATTAGCGATGATACTCGTTTATTACGCGCAACAGCAAACTTTTTATAGTTTAGAAATGTATCATGCAAATCATGATTAGCGATGGTAGCGAAAATTTTTCCATAAAATCTAATGGAAGGAGGTCAAATAAAGAGAGGTTCTCGCATCGAAGGAGAGCGTTTTTATTTGTAACAGTACAGAGATACAACAGCGCGTTAGGATTCTCCGAAGAGCAGAGCCTGCAGTTCGCAATCGATTATATCGTTGCGGTCGAAGTTCTCGCTGTCGCGTATCGCCGTCGGAATAAGCGTTCGATCGTGGACATCGGCCGCGATATCGAGGAAGCGCGTTAGCTTGTTATCGATGTATCCGGTTAAACCGCTCAAAGTTGTAATGATGCGGTTGATGCAATGCTCCAAGTTTAATATATTTAGCACGGTGCTCCTCGATGCGACTAGACGATCCTTAGATGTTTCGAGACGGAGTATTCGAAGATTGTTAAGATTGCCGAATCGCAACGTTAATTGTCCGATATATATCGGGGCTGGAGGGCGCATCTCCTCTCGCTCGTCGCGCTGAAAGTACGACGTAAGCACGGATCGCAGATCGAGCAGTTTTTTCCACACATCCGGCGCAAACGAGATCTCTTTGCCGTGACAATTTCCAAGGACGACTTCTACGTAAGAGGGTCGGCTGACGTTAACACCGACTTCGAGATGTTTGTACGCCGTTTTGGTCTTCGATACGCGGCGAACAGGCGCGTGAGATTCGCCGGAAGAAACGTCGCGTAATCCGTCAACTTCATGGGTCTACCGTAGCGTCTCTCAGTTATGTCGACCGACCATACGTTGCAGCAATTAGCTATGTACAAGCGACGATTCATTATTAACGCAGCATCTATGGGCCGCAACGCGCAGAGATCCGCGCGCGCGGGGTCGGTCGGCGCGACGCTCGCCGTCGTCGCGGGTGCTATGATGGTTGTGGGAATCGTTGGATAGTTTCCATTGTCGTGAGACCCGTACAGATTCTGTATAGCGAGGACGTCCTCTATGCTCAGCTGAACCGGAAATTGATTTTCGATATCGGGTATATACGGGAGCATTACCGAGTCGTTGCGCATATTGTGCTGTAGACCTAGCGTGTGGCCGATCTCATGCGTCAACGTTTGTAGCAAATGACACGTATCGGGAGGATTTTTGTTCAGATACACATGCCACGTTCAATCGGTTTTAATACCGCATTTTTGGTGCAGAAATTCCGATCGATTCGGATTACATTTTTTTGAATACATATTTTTAGTCGACCATTTTCGGCAGGGCTCTGACGCGAAGTCGACCGCTCCCGAGGGAAAGAACGCGTGAGCGAGACTCCATCCGGACCGTCGAAGGCCGCCGGGCAAATGTCGCCGCTCAGACGATTCGCGTAGGTGTGCGCGCCCGTTCGATACGATATCAGTATATCGGGATGTAGCGGGTCGCGCGCGAACGTTAACGATGAATTCACCGTCCATAACGCGAACGCCGCTTCGGCCGTTCTTAAGAGTTCTTCGCTAGCCACTTGAAAGTTCCACGTGAGACGCGTTTTCGGCCATTTTCGCGCGATCGGGCTATACGCGCGACCGGGAATGTCCGCGAGACCGCATTGCGGCTTGCGCATAAGACGAAGCGTATCAGGGTTTAACGCACCATTTTCTGATAATTGATAGTATTCCTGAAACAGCGACAGCGCGTGACGCAGAGACGTCGCGTTGTCGGACGACAACAATCCTCCATCATCCTTCAGAAAACCGTACGCGCGCAAGAAGCGGCGCGCCTCTCTTCTCCGAGTCGATGGGCGTCGCGGTCGTCGCGGCGACGAGCGTTATCGCTAGGATGAGAACAGTCATCGTCTTCTTCGCGGTGGACATTGCGCGGGTTGAGAGGGACGCTGGAAACGATCGATCGAGAAATATCGGACGTAATAAGAAATGTTCGACGAAACGCTTATTTTTGTCTCTAACGCGCAAATTTGGGGTAGAGGGGAAATAAGGTCAGGTCAGGTCAGGTCAGGTTAGGTCAGGTCAGGTCAGGTCAGGTTAGGTTAGGTTAGGTGCCCTCTCGTTGGTGTGCCACCTTGACGTGGTGAGAGGGCTCACCCTGAAGCTTCTCTTAGAGAAGTGGAAGGGTGCTAAGAGCACACCCACGCGTTTTAAGGGTAAGGGTGGGTTCTGGGGATCTGGGGATGGGAAAGGGCCTCGTTGGGGTTGCTGGGCTCTTCCTACGGGTGCGGGGGTGACGGTTGAAAACCGGGCGAACGCCCGAGTAGTAGACCGGGGGCAGGAATGTCCTTAAGCCTTCGCACGGCCGCTGGAGGGTTTGGGGACCCCAAGGAGGTTCTCGCGTGTGCTAGTGCACAAACCCAGGACGATCAACTCCCTGGGACGGCTGACTGGAGGAGGAAGGACCCATAGCTTGGCTCAAGTCCTGAATCTGAAGGTCAATAGCCTGAATGCTCTTCCCTCAGGAGAGTGTTAACGGGGAGCGGCGTCTTGAGGGGAGTCTTGCTTCGGCTGGACGAGCCCCTCGGGAGCAGCTGTATCTCCGCTTAGGTTAGCTGTTACTCCTCAAGAAGGGGCTCGGGTAGGAGTTCTGTGCTGGGTGGTTCCTTTAGAGGAACCATGGAGACACTCATAGCAGAACATTGGGCTGGCCATCCTATCTTGTTGGCTTCGGTGTCAAGAGGAGGATGTGTTGTTGAAGGATCATGGTCCCGATGCAACACATTCGACCCCCAGGGGTCTGCCTTCCCCCTCGGATAAAAACGCGGAGGTAGGGACACGTGGTAGGGACGATGGATGGCCCAGGGAATCACACCCTCGAGTCTTCGCGCCTTGGGTACCCTGGACCACACATCCTCGAACAGGGGTATGCCTTCCCCCTCGTATAAATACTCGGAGGTATCGGGCTGGGAGTGTATTGCAGAATGGCAAACATTCGCAGGGCGGGCATGTGATGGAGAGACTTCGGTCTCAAAATCACAGTCAACCAAACAGGGATCCGCTTCACCCTGTAAAATCGGAAGCGGCTAGGGCTTAGTTATTCCCATCATGTATATGGGGATCCGGGTAGGACTTCTGCGCTGTGTGGTTCCCGAATAGGGAAACATGCAGAGCAGAAGACAGGGCTGACCCCCCTGTATAAACTCGTTGGTCACCGGTGGCATGAGGAGGATGTGTTGCTGAAGGACCTTGGTCCCGATGCAATACATCCGACCCCCAGGGGTCTGCCTTCCCCCTCGGATAAAAACGCGGAGGCAGGGACACGTGGTAGGGACGATGGATGGCCCAGGAAATCACACCCTCGAGTCTTCGCGCCTTGGGTGCCCTAAGTCACACATCCTCGAACAGGGGTCTACCTTCCCCCTCATATAAAAACTCGGAGGTAGCCGGTGCGAGGATGTTTCAGCATGGTAAACATCCTTGTTAAATGGCGTGGCTTGACGGTCCGAAGGTACGTGCATCGCGCAAGTATGGCTTCCCGGCCTAGCCAGCCGGGCGGCCTCCTTTCCCTTGTTTCGCCACGGGGGAGAGGACCCTACGAGGGACTCGCGTTGGGTGGCGGCCCGACGGCCACCACAGGCGTCCGTCTAGTGGGGGTCTGTCTCACCCTACTATAAAAAATCGGAGACAGAAACACGAGATGGGCGGGCTCCCCGCGTTGAGGCGGGGATGGTACCGCAAAGCTCTGGCCCCTGGCAAACAGAGGGGGGCCACGTGTAGAGCAGGTCCGAGCCAAGAGACCTTTGAAATTTTATCCCTCTCGATGGCTGGCCACCTTGTCGTGGTGAGAGGGCTCGCCCTGAAACCTTCTACAGTATGTAGAAGGTGGAAGGGTGCTAAGAGCCAGCCTAGGAGAAGGAAAACTCCGAACCAAACCCGGTGTGTCGACACCGTTAGCGGCAGTGTTCGCGCTGTCGCATCGGCCGAGGAGATAACCTCGTTAAAAAACCCTATTTCGGGGGGGTTTATGGGGATGGGGTTAAGGGTTGGGAGTGTTTTATTTTATTTTCTGTGTGGGTAGGGTGAGCCCCCTGGCATACGGGGACGGCTTCTGATGATCTCCCAGGGCCACGCCGGAGGATCATACCGGCGATGGGTCTGGGAAGTAGGAACCATAAAGTATGCCTAGAGGGTAGTGCCCCTTGAATCAAATGCACTCCTCGCAAACTAAGCTGTGCGTAACCGTGGCGAGGGTTGCATGGCTGAGCGAGGTTAGGCAATTCAGTCTCGAACGATACCCCCGGGGACCTGGCCTGCCCCCGGGCGTATTATTCGAGAGGGTCTCGTACAAGGCGGCTCTGTGCGAGTGGACCTCTTTTCCGACCACTCTCGTGGGATTAAAATGGAAGATGATCAATTTACAAACTCTATTAATAAACAAAAATCTGAGGAAGGCGTTGAGGAGAAGAGGGATGTTGAGAAGCGGAAGGAGGAAGTTGAGATACGTAAGAAAGAGGATTATGTAGTAGGAGGAGGCTCTATGGAGGTAGTACAAGTGGCCGCTTTGAGTGGTGCAAGTGAAAGAGAAGAGGGGACGTCCAACATCGCTCCAGTGTACTGTGAGCTTGTCCCCGGGGGGACGGAGATTGTGGTTACGGCAGTACAGTCCCTCTCCATCGGTGAATATAATGAATGGCAGAGGGATGCATTTTACAGGGCGGACACCGAACCTTTGGGTGAAGAGGACCCACTCACCCAATCGCAATCGCAATCGGAAATGGATTATGAGACGCAAGATGATGCTAGATCAGTAGCGTCTACGGCAACATCGATGGCTACATCCGTACTGGGTAAAAGGAAAGTTCCCTATCAGGCTGAAGAACCGGAAGGGAAGGATTGCACTCTACCTCGCAGGAATCTAAGACCGAAAAAAACTAAGGTCTTCAAGGAAGGCGATCTAACAGGCAAGTCGGCGACGATAATCAGACGGGCTCATGATATTCCTCTACCTCAAGACACGGAGGATACCACTGGCACACTGACGTGCTCCGATGGAGAGGACAAGAAGGAGGATAAGAAGAAGAAGAAGACCAAAAAGGTCACCTCCTCTAAGCGTCGAACAGGCCCAACCATCGAATCACAGCTTCGTGAAGTCCCGGCCACCCTGGACGAGCTAACGGACTCTCCGGTGGCCAATCTAGGGTCATCAGCATTGGAATGGCTGGACGATATCGATATCATCCGAGTCGGTACGTCTATGCAGGGTGAACTGAGCAGCCACGTTAAGAGGAGGCTCAATGTTGTAAAACAGGTTGTACGAGTCATGGCGGAGAAGATCGAGGACGTAGGCGATCCGGGCCTCCTGCGGAGGAGGAACGCAGAACTAACTGCTGAGCTGAGAGTCTCTAAGAGAGAAACCGCGCAACTTAGGAGGGATTTGACGGATTTGAAGAAGGTTGTCGAGGACCTTAAGTCAAGGATTAGCAATAAGGAGACCCCGCCGAGGGTATATACCTCCGACAAGGCCTCCTCTTCTATGACAGTGATGCCGTTGTCGGCCCCCCAACCGAGGAAACGTGTCCCTGTTCTGGAGTATAATCAGGACCCTACGGATGTAGTTATGAGACCTCCCCTAAAGGGGGTATCTGTTCCATCCCTAATCCAGGACCGAGTTTGGATGCCGAAGATCAAGAGGCGATGATTACAGCCCAAATGGACAAACTGGCGGCGATACGTAGGGGAATATGTGCTAATAAGGCGGAAAGGAAAGCTGAGGAGCAAGGCCTCCCTCAGAGGCAACCCAGGAAAGCAACACCAAGAGTTATCAGCAATGTCCAGATTATACCACCACGTGACAGATCACTCGGGGTTCCCCCTGGGCCTAGCGGAGCAGAATGGCCCTCCGTGGAAGAGAGTGTCCGTACAAAGGAGCAGTGGACCAAGGTCCAATCTAAGAAGGCGAGAGCTAGAGAGAGGAAGAGAGAGCAATCGAGTAGTGCGACTAGAGGTCCCCCTGTATCCCAGCAGGAGCCTAATCAGGGGTCTGGTGGTAAGAAGAGTGGAGCTAGTAAGATATCCAAGCAGAGGAAGCCCCCGAAACAGCGGCGGTAGCAATTAGAGGAACGTCGGAAGACTTCTCCTATACGCAAGCAATTAGACACATGAGGAATAAGATCGACCTCCCCAAGCTTGGCATCGAAGGAACCAAAATAAGGCACACAGTCAATGGAAGTGTTCTCATCGAAATTCCAGGTCCGGAGGGACATAAGAAAGCGGATGTTCTGAGGGATAAACTGATGGATGCACTGGGACCTCATGCAAAGGTATCTCGCCCAATGATCAGAGGGGATATTCGTATCATTGGTTTGGATGACTCTATCACCTCGAGTGAAGTAGAGGAGATCCTTGTTAAACAAGGGAATTGTAAAGCCTCCGATATTAAAGTAGGACAAATCAGGCCCATGAATAATGGGCTATTTATGGTATGGGCCTAATACCCGCTTGCTTCAGCAATACAGTTGTCTGCCCCGGACAGAATTAAAATAGGATGGACGGTTGCCAGAATAGAGCTCCTCAAAGCTCGCTCTGCTCAATGTTTCCGGTGCTGGGAGCAAGGGCATCTGAAGAACAAGTGCACATCCGTCGTGGACCGATCGAACCTATGTTATAGGTGCATCGTTCTGGTTTGGTAGTTTAAATAAATTGGCGGCGATATATTGGAGACCCCAGGCCACAGTCAGCACCGGCACTCTGTTAGCTAGGAGTCGTCATTGCGTAGCAGCAAAATTTAAAGAATTTAATGTGATATCGTGTTATGTTTTTCCTAACTCTTCGAGAGCAGAGTTCCTTGAATTTCTGGACGAGTTGGGCGACTTGGTTAGGTCCATAGGCAGGAGAGTTGTAGTAGCTGGCGATTTTAATTCGAAATCTATCTTATGGGGATCATTATGGGGAGTAGGACAAATGATAGAGGTACTGCGGTGGAAGACTGGGCTTCAGAGTGCGAACTGCGGTTAGTTAATAGCGGTTCTGAACCGACATGCGTACGGATGCAGGGAACATCAATAATAGACCTTACGTGGGTCACCCCTGATCTACTGCGAGAAGTGCACGACTGGAAGGTACTTAACGAGATAGAAAATCTTTCTGACCACTCTTATATCACGATGGATATAGGTGGAAGGCGTAATGGTCAGACCAACTCAAAGAAAATTGGTCTAGGCTGGAACTGGCGCAAAGCAGATACGGATAAATACTGCGCGACTTTGATATGGCATTGCATGGCGGACGCACAGATAAATGAAGAGACTTCGGCGGTGGAGTTTGAGAGATGGGTTAGGAACACGCTAACTGAAGCTTGTGATAATGCTGCCACCAGAAGGAAGCCCTTCAGCGGCCGCAAGCAGGTCTATTGGTGGTCTATTGGTGGACATTGCAGATTGTAGAAGAGAGTGTATCCGTAAGAGGAGAGCGTGGATGCGAGGGAGAAGAAGAAGATCATCCCTACAAGAGGATATAGAGAGATATGAGATGGAATACAGAGTAGCGAAAAAGAAACTTAGGCTTGAAATCAATAAAGCCAAGTCCACAGCATGGCAGGAACTCATCGATACAATTGAGGAAGACCCGTGGGGCCTGCCATACAAGATCGTGTTAAAGAAACTGAGAAATGCTTCTATCAGTATAATGGAGTCTCTCAACGAAACAGCAAGGAGCTCTTTAGTTGAGTCCCTATTCCCGACGGCTGACACAGGTACTCCTGAAACGTGGGGGAACTTCCAGTGGAACGAAGAGTGGGAGGTCATTCCCAGCGAAGTCAGTAAAGTACTGAAGCGGAAAGGCATTGGTAACACGGCACCTGGTATGGATGGGATTACCTCTAAAATGCTCCGAGCGCTTCCGGAGGAAATGGTGGTTAAGTTGGCAACTTGCTACACGGCGTGTTTGAAGGATGGAGTATTCCCAGTGGAGTGGAAGAGGGCGTCGTTAGTGCTTATCCCAAAGGGAGGGGAGTCCTCCCCAGGCGTTCCTAAAGTTAGACCTATTTGTCTTCTCAGCGAGGTAGGGAAAACATTCGAACGGATAATAGTAGGTAGAATTGGTGACTGGATGAAGGAACAGCAAACAGCACAACTATCCGATGACCAATATGGTTTTCGTGAAAGTAGGTCCACATGTGACGCGTTGATGCGGGTTAAGAAGACCATCGAACAGGCTACTCAAGAGAATGGATATGTAGTTGCTGTAAGTCTCGATATAAAGAACGCTTTCAACTCCATTCCATGGGGGGTAATTAGGCAAGCGCTGGTTGAGAAGGAATTCCCGGACTACATCAGAAGGATCATAGATAGTTATTTAGACTCAAGGACGATTGAATACTCGGTGGGTTCTCTGATGGAGAAAAGAGCTATGTTAGCGGGTGTTCCGCAGGGATCGGTGCTCGGCCCGACCCTGTGGAACATTGCATATGACAGTGTTCTACAATTAGGCTCCGAGTACGGTTGTCAGACCATATGCTACGCGGATGATACGCTAGTGTTGGCTTCAGGAGACACGGCCAAAAAAGCGGTGGCCAGAGCTAACCTACAGGTAGGTCTGATTATAAACAGAATTAAGAGATTAGGTTTAACAGTGTCAGCCGGCAAGACGGAAGTAGTACTGTTTTCGGGAAAGAATAGACCGGCAGTAATGCCATATATTAACGTCGATAAAGAATGGATAAGAGCTGGAAGTTCTATGAAATATTTAGGTATTGTGTTAGATTATAGGCTAAGTTTTAGGGAACATTTTCAATATGTAGTTGAGAAAGCGTCTAAAGTTAATAGGGCCCTGGGTCGGCTTATGCCGAATTTAAGAGGCCCGGGAGAGAATAAGAGAAAACTCTACGCGAATGTCTTGCTCTCAATTCTTTTATACGGGGCTCCTATATGGAGCGAGGCTTTAGCTTTAAGAAGGCGATCAGAACGATCTCAGGATATAGGACAGTTTCAGGGAAAGCCGCTATGTTGTTGTCCAGAATTCCCTCGATATATATACTTGCGGCCTCTCGTAGAAGAGTTTATGAACGGATCAGGGACCTCAGGTTGTCCGAGGAATGGTCCAAAGAGGATGAGAGCGAGATCAAACTGGAGGAGGAAATATTGATGAGACGGCAGTGGGACTTGCACCTGCGAAGTCCGAACTTAGCAGGAACAAGGACCAGGGAGGCCATACTGCCTAATTTTCATGATTGGTTAAACAGGAGACATGGCAGTATGGCGTTCCATCTGACACAGCTGCTCACGGGTCACGGCTGTTTTGGTACGTACTTGTACAGGATTAATAAGGTAGTGAGTCCGACCTGTGAGCACTGCGATGAGGAATTAGAAGACTCCGCTGAACATACCTTGCGAGAATGTGGAGCATGGAAGGCGGAGAGGGAAGCCCTTCAGGCTACCATAGGTTGCGAATTATCTTTAGGGACTGTGATAGGCGAAATGTGTAGTACAAAGGAAGCGTGGACAGCCATGACTCACTTCGCTGAAACCGTGATGCTTAAGAAAGAGGATGCGGAGAGACGTCGTCAAGAACAGGAGCAGAGAGCTGACGATAGCGATCAATCCGGATGACATTTAGCGTGTTAGGGAAGCGACTGACAGTAGACTAGCTACTAAAGGTCGAGGCAGTCTAGGACTGTACTTTAGTGTAGGCATATTACTAATAATTGGACTAAATAAATATCTTGGTCTAAAGAGATGGAGCTCTGTAGTGGTCTGCTGCAGGGCTTTGGCAGCTTGCTGTACATGAGTGAAGGGTCGTTAAGAGTACGGATGTACAGACACTTAACTAGTATAATAAGTAGGTTTAAGGTCTTAGTTAAAGATAGGTTGTAAGGAAACTCAATTGTATCTATTCTTTAGGCTTTAATTAATTATTACTGATAATTATTTTAAGTAGGAAATGTACCGAAGCAGTAATTAGGATGAACTGTAGAAGGTGGGCACCCCACAGGTGCGATGTAGTAGGGGTTGGGCGCGCGGAGTCGTTTTGTGCACAACGTTTCCCGCGCGCTCAATCCAAACTGCTGGCGGATGGAATTCGCATCCGCGATCGAAAAAAAAAAGGTTAGGTTAGGTTAGGTTAGAGGCCCCTCCGATGGTGCACCACCTTGTCGTGGTGGACGGGCTCCCCTTCCATTCCTGGAAGGGGTCTAAGAGTGCACCAAGTTACTCGATCGTCGTGGGAATGGGTATTATTTTTCTTTATTTTGGGTGAATGTTGTGGAATGGTTTGGGATATTGTGGGAGGTTATTGGGGGGTTTTTGGGGTTTTTTCTGGGGGATTGTGGGTTTGAGGGGGGTGTATGGGTATGTGTGTGGGTATTGGGGTTTCGTGGGTAGGGGGGGGTGGGGTGTGTGTCTCGTGTAGAGACGGGGGATCGAGTGGGGTGGCGAGGTAGGTAACCTCAGTAAAAAATCCCGGGCAGGTCGGGCTCGTCAGGCGTGGTGAAGCCAACCGACCTAGGTGAAGGAAAACACCGAAATCAAACCATCTTTCTGATACTGCATGATGAGCACGACGAAAAATAAAACGTTTACTGCTGCAGTGGGCTTCGGATCCCGCAGCGACCGGCGTGGGGGGGGGATATAGTCCCGGTCCCCCCCCCCCTCGCCATCCATTCCTGGAAGGGGTCTAAGAGTGCACCAAGTTACTCGATCGTCGTGGGAATGGGTATTATTTTTCTTTATTTTGGGTGAATGTTGTGGAATGGTTTGGGATATTGTGGGAGGTTATTGGGGGGTTTTTGGGGTTTTTTCTGGGGGATTGTGGGTTTGAGGGGGGTGTATGGGTATGTGTGTGGGTATTGGGGTTTCGTGGGTAGGGGGGGGTGGGGTGTGTGTCTCGTGTAGAGACGGGGGATCGAGTGGGGTGGCGAGGTAGGTAACCTCAGTAAAAAATCCCGGGCAGGTCGGGCTCGTCAGGCGTGGTGAAGCCAACCGACCTAGGTGAAGGAAAACACCGAAATAGATAGAGAGGTGAGGGTGGTCGTGCGGAGGATCGACCGACCGGGCCCGGTTTCAGCGAAGTCGAAGCTCCGGTCGCGTACGGTCTCGGCCGCGAGGGCGCACCCGTATAATCGGGACGAAGCAGGTCGAGGCAAGAGCCTCACCCGCTCGAATGAGAAGGCGGAGGACTCGTCGCGGGGGTGCAGCAAACGCACCACCCCCGCTTCCTCCTCGAGGGCCTCGCTAGTTAGCGAGGACACCGAGGAGTGCGCGTCTCCCGATGGGGGTGACCCCATGGGAGACGATGACCTCCCCAAGAAGCGGGGTGGAGGGAGACCGCCCACCACGGGCGAGCTCGTTAGCCTGCGCGAAAGGCGCGAGGAAGAGGCCGCCCTCAAGAAGGAGAAGGAGAAGGAGCGGAGGGCCAAGAAGGCCTTATCGGAGGATACTCCCCTCCCTCCGCCTAGTAGGGGCCTTCGGGCCTACGAGGCGTTGTGTGCCGACGAGGTGGAGCATGCCCCTGATATACCCCGGATATAGCGGCGCGCAGCCTGGAGCAGGCGGCGACTATAGACCGAATAGCCGTCTGCTCCGGGAATCTGCAGGGCTCCCTTCAGCGGAAGCTGAGGGAGGCCGCTGCCCTGGTGAGGGTGGCGGCTAGCGCTTTGGCTGAGAGGGCTCAGCGAAGCGAAGGGGAAGGCGAGCTTGCGGCTCTCCGTAGGGACATGAAGTCCCTCGGAGACCGCAACGCGGACCTCCAGAAGGAGGTTCGCGAGCTCAAGGGGGAGCTGGACGCGGTCCGACGCGCCAAGCCCTCCCTTCGGCTGGATCTCCCCGGCTCGCCGGAGAAATCCCCCCGCAAAAGGCGGGAAGTGCCTCGGGTGAAGTCGGTGGAGATGCTGGACGTTCCAGTGAGAGTGGAACGCAGTGATGCCAGAATTGAGACGCGACTGGAGGGGTTAAGGGACAGGGGTCCCCAACGTCCTCAGGGGGGGGTGAAGGGACTTCGGTTCCCAACGTTGGCGGGTGGCCGAAGTAGCGCGGCGATGAGGCCCCCTTTGAGGGGTACCTCTGCGCCGCTCCCCGAGAGCTACCCGCCGGGGGTCGTCGGCGAGGGCGGATGAATCCTGGTCGAGGGTCGTGGGGCGGAGGGAGAGGGCGGCTAGGGCAAAGGCCGCACAAGCGGCCCAACCCCCGGCCCTGAAGGGTGCCGCGAGGGCGATGCCATCCACACAGCGTGCTGGGGGAGGGCAGCAGCGGCAACAGCCTAAGAGGCGTCCCAGACGAGACGCCTCAAGGCGCAGAGTGCCCCGATCGGCGGCGGTTACGATAACCTGCGCCGACTTGCTGCGCTTATCAGGATACCCTGATAAAGGCCTGGAGGGAGATCGACCTTCCAAAGTTGGGAATAGACTCCCTCCGGGTTCGCGAGACTGCTACGGGAGCCATGGTTGTAGAGCTCTCGGGGTCGGGCGAGAAAAACGGACCAACGGCGACACAGAGGGCCGATGCCCTCTACGCCGACCTCCGCCGGGTGTTTGCCGGTGAGGAGGGGGTCCGTCTCGCCCGCCCCATCAGAAAGGCGGAGCTGCGGCTCCGCGGCCTCGACCGATCCCTGGCGGCTGCCGATATCGCGGCGGCCGTATCCAGGGAGGGGGGCTGCGTGGTGGCGAACGTGCGGGTTGGGGACATTAAGTGCCAAGTGCACCCCCCTAAAAGGCGGCCGGACAAACGACGGGACGTTCCGACGCCGGGAGGACGGCGGAGGCGTATGAGGGGCCACGGCCCGTGGGCGGAGGGCCTCTCTGACGTAGTGCATATGCCAGTTTCCAGAGAGGCCCTCTGAAACGCCCGAGATAGGCCACCCGGAGGGGTTTTGGTGGGTAGGCCCCGGCCGTTTGTTTAGGCCGGGGTTAGTCCTACATAACCCCGCCTCGAACCCCATCAATGCGGGGTATGCGTAAAGGCATTTCCCCTCCGTTACAAAAAAAAGGCGTATGAGGGGTTCCGTGCCGTTAGGAACGCCCTCAGCGCTGCGATCAGGCGGGCCAAGGCCCAAGCGTGAGATGAACTGCTGCGCTCCCTGGACGCAGACCCATGGGGACGCCCATATAAGCTTGTCATGAACAAGCTAAGATCTTGGGCGCCCTCCGTGACTGAGTCCCTGGAACCCCAGGTCCTCGAAGGTGTGTTGGAGGCCCTCTTTCCATCAGAGGGCCCCCCTTCGACGCGGGTGGCCGCCAGGAGGCGGTCATCCCGTGGTCAGAGGACTTGGAGGTTTCAGAGGACGAGATGGCCGGTGTGATCCGTCGGTTGAGACTCCGGGGTAATAAGGCCCCGGGCCCCGACGGGATCCCCGGCCGGGTCTGGGTCTTGGCTTTGGCCCAACTGTCCGGGAGCCTGAGACGGCTGTTTAACAGCTGCCTCAGGGAAGGTGTGTTCCCCCCGGCATGGGTGAGGGCCAGACTGGTCCTCATCCCGAAGGGGAGCAAACCCGGCAGCGTCCCTTCTGCCTACAGGCCAATATGCCTGTTGGACGAGGCGGGAAAGCTCTTGGAGAGAGTGTTGGCGAACCGCCTCGTCCAACACCTGTCCCGAGGAAGGATGGACCTCCACCGAGACCAGTATGGATTCCGCGGGGGGCGATCGACCGTGGACGCACGCGCGGGCGGAGAGGGCTGGGTCGCGATCGGACCCGGCCCCATCGAACTCCTCCTGCGTTTGCGCCGGGCCCCGGCGAACCCGGGGGACGTCCGTTATTTCGTCGCGGACGTCTTACCCGAGGCCGGGCCCGGTCGTCGGAGCCCAGGTGGGGTACCTACACACGCGTGTATAATTTTAAAATTTTTTTTTGCGCACATTTCTTTTGCGCACAGTTCGTTTGCACACTTTCCCATCCACACAACAATTATAAGGATCTCGTTTCGCGTTGTAAAGTATATGCGGAATTATACATGCATACATGCGTGTGTATGTGTTCCAAATCATACAAAAATATGTGTTGTGTCCAAAAACAACGTGTCCAATTGAA